CTATCCTCATAATGATCCTGTTTAAAATTTAGTACTAGTACAAATGTTAGATCCTTTACGTGACATAAGAGATGTAAGAGGTTTTCCCAAGCTTTTAAATATTCCTTTTCTAAGGCATTTAGTGCTACCAGGTGAATAATACACTTAAATATAAACATTTGAATTGAGTAAAGTATTTAATAACATTTGAATTATGTATAGAGATATAATTGCTTAACAAAAGTTCCTGTTCATTTTTCAAATCTGTAACAAACGATCGCAAGACAATATTAAAGTTGTACAAATCTTCTTATCTGTCATGATTATTACACAAACGATATTGTATTTGAAGATGTAATGCTCCACGAATATATATAACCGTTACACTAAATAGAATGTCGCAAATAAGCTCGTATATTTATACGTTTTTATCACATGTAAATAGCAAAACGAGAAAAACGCACAACGAAGAGGAGAAAGTTGCAAGGTTTGAAACTATTGTTAATAATATTGAGAAAGTGAGAGTTTGAATTATTTTTGTTTTATATATGTTTTACTGATAAATATTCGTACAAATTTTACTCAATTATATACGCATTCTAAGTAAAGCGCCATTCTATATGAAAGAATATGTATTATATTAAATATTGTGAATTATGTTATATTAAAACTTCTCTGAGTTAACTTTACATAGGTACCATTAAAGGAAACTTTTATACTAGCTAAGTAAAAGATTTTTAAAATTTAATCTCGAATTTTATTATTTTACAGCTCAGTTAGAGTACGAAATTGTAGGAACCAATTCAATGTCGAAAGAAATTATTATTTACGATTATACTCAATTTTCCATATAACATATTTTTGTATCTACTTTGTATTTTTCTATGTACTTGTTTAGTTATAAGAGATGATAAACTACATTCTACTAAATATTATCTATCTATCATGATGAATCACTTAATATTATGATAAACATAAAATTTATTAGATTTTTAAATTTTACTTTATGGTAAGCCGACATTTTCCTTTACAATTCATAAAGCACTTTTGCTCTGATATTTCCACATCAAAATATTAGTCCTTAATTAAAGGTAGCATGTATTGTTAAAGCATTGTGTGATCGTGTTGCAACGCTCATCAATTTTAACTTTTCTTATTTATTACGCAAATGAAATGTGCAAGAATATACACTAGAATTTAACACATTTTAAGGCAATTTTTAATAACCCAAATATGTATTCTTTTTACTGTAATATTTGTATCATATTTTTAAAATCATATTTTTTAGCTCTTACTTTCATAATTAAATTAAACGTAATATTTTTCTACATAAGATGTTTCTATGTATTTAATATATTCGTTTATTATTATCAGTGACTATTAAATAAAAACATCGCGAGTACAATGAAAAGTGCCTTTTATTAAAAATATTCATAATTCGTTTGTACAAACAACACCTCTTTTATATTATATATAGTAATGTTATCATCGTAATGTTAAAATTTATACAAATG